TAAAGGTGCACCTTTGTATCTTATCTACCCTTAAAGCATGCATACTTGTATGGTACTAATATGCTCCCTTTCAGGGGTATAGTTGCACCTTTGAGGTTACTGCCCCAGTAAAGGGCTAAAATACAATTATAGTATATTTGATTTATGACAGTGTAAACAAAAAAGGCCTATGAAATGTAAAAAAATATGGCTTTAAAATCTAATATTAAGTGAGAATAATTACTGATTATATTCTTTGATTTAAAAGATCAGTTTAGTTTAGAAGTATCGGTATCGACGATACTGGGCTTGAAAATATCGGTATCGGATCGAAAATAAAATAAGAGGTATCGCCCATCCCTACTTACCGATTCAGAGCCGATCCTTTTATTGCCAGCGGCGCCGCCAATGACGTCACAGCCACGCGCACACTCACAGTCGTGTGTAAACATGTCGTTTCGCACGAGAATGATTCTAATTTTAATTGAATTCAGTGTAAACGGCGACTGATAATGTATTTATGTTGTGCCAGATGAGGCTTGCACAGCCTGAGTGAGTGTGTGAGAGAGACAGCACACACAAAGTAACTCACAGAAATGTATAGATGCATACTGCGGTATAAAAAAAAAAGCTATTTTCAAAATATGATTTAGGTAAGCAACATTATACGGCCATGATGTTTCCCCGAATATCAATATCAACACGATTGTAATGTGACACTGATTTTATACAATAGTATTTCAATACACAAGAAGTTAGACTTAGATTTTAGACAGAATATTGACTGTTTTTGCTCAATTTCGCTGACGAAAATAGTTCCGAAAAGCCACAGCAGAACTGTCCACTAGCAACACAGCGGTATTTCGTTACTGAATGAATCCACAGTTTTGAACGAATCGAGTGAGTCAATGATTCAGTAACCCATTCATAAGGACAGTCACTTGCCTCGTTTCTGAATGAATCGGTTGATTAAAGAATAAATGACTCACTCATTAAAACAGACATTTGCCGCCACCTACTGGTGGTTTAGTCATATTTAAAAGTATCATTGCATTTTTTCAACATTTATTTGTATGTTTTAAAAAATATGTAATACATTAATCTTATACAATTATTTATGCATTTGAAATTTTGCAGTGTAAATGCATTTATGGCACCTCAGCTTCATCAAACTGTCTGTGTAAATGCATCTAATGCCACTTCAGATGCAGCTTCTGTTTCCTCAGCAGTGGAAAGATAGAGTTTGTTAATACTAATTTGAAATTTCATTTGAATGGTAACAACTCTGCAGTTTCTTATTATTCTAACTGAATTAATTGAAACAAAGTAAGAATTTCATGTGAAAGATGACATAAGGTTAGGGGAGAAAAAAATGACCATTTATAAACATAGTGGGAAATGACAGCTGTTTTGTTACATACAGCAACACATTTTAAGTTAACTATTTCTTCCTCTTTCCAGTCACAGAGCACTTTATTTTGAGAGTCGTTTAAGTGAGAGAAAATCTGTAACTTAGTCCAGTTTGGGGAAATTGTAATATTTAATAATTTCTTTTATTATGTAATAATTTTTGCATTGAAATTTGCATAGATTTTTGTTTGTATATGCTGTCAATTATAGTTCTTAGAAAGAAAGAAAATCGGAATCGGCAAAAATCGGTATCGACAGGTCACACTTCCAAAAAAATCGGAAATCTGAATCGGCCAAGAAAATTGCAATCGGTGCATCTCTAGTATAAAATAGAACTCTCTCCTGATAACTGAAGCGGAGCGCAGTATGGACAGCTGCAGAGGCTTGCAGGTGTACGGCTGATGCGTGGAGGTATTTTACTGCTGACTCGGTACAGAAAAGTGGACAAAAGTGCTTCATTTTTCACATTTTCATTCTTTTGAACTGTCTTGCATGATCTCGCTCTCACCTCTCTCTCTCAACACTGTGCAGAGCTCCTGGAAAATCTCCCATAAGCCTCTAATCTGTCATTGTTCATTGTCTCATTTCGAATAAAGCCCCTGTTCAAGTTTTTTAGCAAATGCAGAATGAAAGCTGCACATCTGCCCCCTATATAAAATTATATGAAACCTCAAATAAGTTTGACCTTGTGTTACAGGTGACGAAGGTATTCAGAAGGGGACATCTCCACTGAAATATCTTCTTTAAAAGGACATTCAGGGGACACAGATTACACAAAGTTCGACTGTCTCAATATAGCTGTAATTGCTTTGGCCTGATGGAGCTTCTCGTGGTCAAAGGGTTGATTTGGTCACAGAGCAGCACGCACCACTGTCTCTCTCTG